TTCAATTCCTGTCCAAAAAGAAAAAGACCCTTAAGCAGAAGTTGCTTTCTTTTTCAAATCGTTTTAGGAAACCACTTCAGGGCTGGCTGCATTTCGGAAGGTGCAGTGTTCACTTTTTTTTCCTCTTACAGACTTTGAATAGATGTGGGAGGCAGGATGATACTTCCTCTAACAGCTTTAGGAACCTACCCCTTCACTGCTTGCCTTTTCTGTTATTACCTTAAACAAGGGGGGAAGCTTTAGAAAATATCCAAACAAGCTAATTTACTGGGGGTTTTAGCAGTTTTTTTTCAGGTGAAATTATTTCGCAAATTTGTCCTGAATTTTTTTAATATTTTGGGCTCTCCTGAAACTCTGTTCTTCTGTGGATAGTTTATCAAAACAGTTCCTTTCCATTTTTCTTCTAATAACATGCATTTCTTAGGTTTTATCCAGAATGATGTAGTTAGGGGTGGCATTAAAGGTAATGGTTTCTTACTGGAGCACTCCCTCTGAGCATATGTGAGCACACGCACATGCACATACAGGAAAGTATCCCCCTTCCATGGGACAATGGTGTCCAAGCAAGGTGCTTTATCTAGTCTTTTGTTACACAGTGGAAAAGGAGCTCTCCAGGCTTTGTTACACAGTGGCAAAGGAGCCCAAATGCAAGAGTCCTAATGTTCTTGAACTGATTTTGTTGTAGTTGTAAGGTGTACTTGTAAAAAACTTTAAGCTCCTTACAGATAAAGATATTATATAATTAACAGAAGAGTTAAATGGTAAGTTCTGCTTATGAGCACCAGTACAATCTTTATACTATTTTTATAGTTGTACATATCATATAGGTGATGATAACACACCTTTCTATAAAAGTTAGAAAGAACGTTAGTGTTTATTTTGTTTTTCTCCACCTGTAAAGCCAGGTGCCTTGGTACCTTGAATCTAACTGTGAAACAACTGGGAAAATGAATATTAGTATCACCTCATTTCTGAAAGATGTATAAATAGATGTATAAATGCATATATTTTAGTTCTTGTAAAACTGATGTCACAATACCCAAGGATCTCTCTAGGTTTGTATTAAAAGGCAGAGCATCAGAGGTCTTTATCATTTCTAGCCATATTGTATTGTGAGACAGTGGACTGTGAACAGATCACTAGTTCTGAATTGACTTTTGTTTCCTTCAGCAAAGGCTAGTGTATTTTAAGGATAAATTCTAAAGCTGAAGGGAAAAACTTGTGGTGAATGCAGAGAAGACTGTTCAAGCTGTTCAGACATTTAGAATGGATTAGTGGGCAGAGTGCAGGTGAAGTGGCCAAAGGTGCTTGAGGAAGGCCCTGTTCCACAATACGTCACATGGTTCTCTATTTTAGCAGCTGCCAATCACCTCTGCATGTGACAGTAATTAGACACAGAGGATACACATGTATTGTGTAGTTTTCAGCTGGCAGATGCTTCAGTAGCTTTAGTACAGAGCAGCAGCATAGTCCTAAGAAGAAAGAATAACACCTGAAGAAGCCCAATAAAGAAAGAAATATTTCACAGCTGCATTGCCATGTTTTTTGCCTCCTTCATTACAGATTATACAGTATAATGAATGGGTGATAAAGCCACATTTCCACCTGGGGACCTTCATGATTTAAATCTATTTCATTATTAGAGTTCTCTTCCCTTCCTCCACTCAAAGCTTCCCAATGATTGGGTTTATCACATAATCCCTATTCGCTCATCTGTTAAAATATATAAAGATTTTTTTTTGTTTGAATTCACCTGGAGAGTGATAATTTCAGCTTACTGTCAATGAAATATAATTCTGAATAATTTCCCACATGATTATTTGGGGAGTTGTTTTTGGAAGTGTTAATACAAGACAGTAGAAAAGTTAATAGAAAACAATGGAAGTCATTGTGAGAGATGATAGAAGGAGGGTTAAAGTATTTAATAGGGGCCAAGATGCTGCTACCAAAATTTATCTTTATTAAAATTAGAAATGCTACAGCTTTTAGTCCAGTAATAAACCTATAGTGACTCATCAGGGTGATGTTGTGGCTTTTTCCTTTGCTCTTATGAGCAGAGTATTGATTAGACCGTGAAGTAATACAACAACAGCTGAAGCTCAGATAGCAAATATGTGTTAAATTGATCTCCCTTTACTAAACCCTCTCTTCCCTAGTGTTATTTATAGCAGAAGGATTGGCTTTGGAAAACAACTTTGATAAACACTACTTTGTGGTACCTGTTTAAGTGATGGGGGAAGAAAATGCTCCCTAGTTTGTTAACTTTAAGTATTGGAAACAGAAGTGATGTGCACATAATAATATTATGATTCATACAAACCACTTTTCAGCCAACTCAATATATTTCATTACCTCCTTTCCAGCAGATGTATTGATTTTTGTTTTGTGGTTTTATAACACAATTTCAAGGCTGTTGTAGTTTAATGAGCCATGTTCTTATGATGTTTAAAAAGATTTGAAGCAGTTGTTGAAGTAAATATTATGGATTGCCCATCTCTTGTCACCTCTCCTTTCTGTTATCCTTATAAACCTAGCATAAAAATGAATAGGGCATCCAGCTATGCAGCTTTTTGTGCTTGAGATCAAAGTGCTACTGGAGAACAATAGCAGGCCACACTTATGTGTTCATGACCACACACAGCAGCACCTGCAGAGCTGTAAAATGTCATTGTTGCTTCTGCAGTTTGAGCACAGAGGAAGCACCACTGAGGTGGCAGATGATTCTAATAATACTTGATGTGAATTGATGGGGAAGGAGGACCATAACACAGAGGGCTTTTTATTATAAGCCTTGACTTCCCAAGCTGTGAACAACAGAATACTGCACCTGTGGACTTTCTTCAAATCAACCATTATGGAAGCTGACAGATTTTATTAACTTAAGGAAGAACTTTTCAACATTGGAGATTTGTAGTTTATTTTGTAGTCATGTGAAAAAGAAACAGAAGGATATATTTACATATTTCCTGCTGTTCAGGTTTTTCTAGTAGAAACTTATCCATTCTGCCTTTTGAGTAATTTTCTAATAAAATAGGAGGGACATAATCAGAAATGTTTTTGATATTTAAAAAAGGCTGTTTAAAATATTTTCTTGATCATTTTCATTCACGTTGTTTTGTGCCTTTTTGTAAGATGGCTGATGAAGACACAGGGAGACTTGAAACAGAAAGGAAATAAAAATAAGATAATACCTGGCTAAATGTAGGATATTTGAGGCTTGAAAGATTTGATAAAAAAGAAACAAAAACTGACAATATTGAAGTCATCACACTGGTGAAACATTCCTCAACTGACTCTGTGCAGTCCCACTGACATTTTGGATTTTCTTCTCACTCTATGTATCTGATTTGTATGCAGCACCTTGGTTAGTAGTACAATACTTAGTTAGTTAGTTTTTGCTCTGTGCAGCCTTCCAAAGTTTGGATTTTGGTTTTTTTTGCAAAGCTTCTCCATTAGTTTTAATTATGTCTGTGGTCATTTTATATTGCATTGGATCATACATTTTCATGCATCGTCTCTATGTCTGTGCTTGTCTTGCTTTATCGTTATTGGTTTACTGCTTCTTATAACATTATAAAAATAACACTGCTAGAAAATGAAGCCAGGGAGAATTATATTTTTGGTGTATATTTCCCTCTCTCTCTCTCTCTCTCTTTCTCTCCTCTCTTGAGTTTACTGGAGTGTTATCAGGCATACCTAGCCCCCATATCTGTGGACATTATAGTTCCACAAGGAGTGGAACTGGATGTTATATGACCTGTATCAGATAGGATCCACCTATGGTAGTCACCCTCTGCAGCACCAGCAGGATGAGTGTGACTGAAATGCCGTGAGAAGAGAATCAGGCTAAGGAAAATACTGTTGTTCAGCCTCTACTTTGTGGCCCTGAATTTTGTATTTTTCTTCCTGCTTGTTACTCCTTTGGAAGGGTGGAAAACTGCACTAGTAGTTTTAAGCCACCTTTTTATCCTCCTTGTGTGGGGTGTTGAACCACTTGCAAAACTCAGAGTAGCCTCAGGATTTTTCTGTTCAAGTGGCTTTCATGCTCTTTCCATGCTACCATAACAGCACAGAGGTACTGCAGTTATCTAGAGGATTGCGACCTCTGATAGTTCAACATGGCATTTTTTTATTTTCAAAATTTCTACTGGTGTCAGAAGTGTGAAGGATCTTACCTATGTGTAAGATCAATTCAGTAATATCTGTTTAAGTAGAATGTTAGGCCCAGTTCAGGTCATATCAAAGGTAGTGCTATACGTTCAGTAGGTCTTGGGGCAGGCCCATTGTAAGCATGTAAATCCAAGTACATCCATCGGCCTGCACAGATGGAGCTAAAATACACAACAACGTTACTTGGGTTACTTTAAAAAAGAATTGTATATTTAAAAGGAAGGTAGGATATGACGTATATCAACAGCATTTTTACACATCTTCGTATGTAAATAGCTTTTACAGTTTGTGTGCCTTAGAAGCCAGTTTGGTTTCCAAGGATTCATGGAAATTGTAATTCACATAGTATTAATGTGTTGACCAAGTGTTGACAACTCAAGCATAAAGTTGATCAGATCATGATTATTAGCTAAAAGCAGAGAGCTTTTTGTTGATTCTTTTTGTTCTAAAAATAAGCTTTGGACAAACTGGAGATCATTTTGCAGGAAACTCTTAAGTAAAGTGATCATATGAAGTAGTTAGTAGAATATTACACTTTTCATTTGCACAAACAGATGGGAAGCCTGTCTTCAGATTTAATCAGGACATGACAGACAGGTAGTGCTTTTGCATATTTCAGATGGGGAGTCTTTCTTTTCAGAGAGATAGGAAGACTCTGCTTAATATTCAGTAACCCCTAGACTAGTGGAGATAAATATTTACTAGACATCCATGCTATCTCAAGCATTACTTTGTCATACTATGAGTGTGTAAAAATTATTTCATAGTGAAATAATAAATTATTTGGGTAATTACAAGAACCTTCTGACTTTTTTTCTCTACTTACACAGTTTGTGCAACAGCAATCCAGAAGACACAGTAATATGCCTGTGGATAAACATGTAAGTAAATAACTGCTTTAACAATCCATGAGTCATGGATCTCTGACCATATGCTTTTTAGCTAATCTTTTAGAAAAGATTTTGATATCAATTGTTTCTTTTTCCCTTTCCAAAGCATTATACCTGGTAACCTAAGCACATACAATCTGCTTCAGAAGAGGGACTTGGACAAGTGCAGCCGCTGGTGTGTTTTAATGTCACTGCAGAGATTATATTACCTTCCTAGAAACAAAATCTTTCCCCCCCTTCAAATGGAAGTCCCTTGATACCCCCATCAGAGACCATTTGTTATGTAGAGTTTTGTGAAGCAATCAAAATTAATTCACAGTGATCTTTTCACCCAGAGCCCCTAGCTTCGAATAATGGGCTTTCTCAACAGGTGCTCATTGTGGCAGTTTGACTTCAAATTGCCAGACTAAAGATTTTATTCTTTAGCCATATTTAAAAAAAATATCCTGAACTTGTAATTTACTAATCTTTAGCAGCTGCCAGGAAAGGCACACCTGCTTAAAAGAATGATGACTTGTGTCTTTGAAATTCAACACCTAAAAATGTTTCCACATTAGTTTATTTCTTGATTTAATAAAATTTAATTTATAAATATGGTGATACATGTCCAGTGAACAACACTGTGGCAGTGTTCAGGTAGCATAAGGGATCAGATTGTACAGTCTTTCCCTTAAGCAAAACTCCTTTTGTAGATAACAGGAGTTTTGCGTGGGTAAGGACTGCATGGTTGATTTCAGTGTGAAATTAAAAAAAAAATTTGAAAAAGACCTAAGAAAGCAAGAGATTAAAAAGCAAAATTATTGGGCTATGCTTGTTTTTGTGCACGTTATTGAATGTTTGGGCCCTGCATTTTTATTTTCTGATTAAATACTTTTAAAGTGAGTAGCAAAATGAAAATGTAAATCAGCCAAAGGTTCTGTAGTAACTCTTCTCGGTAAATATATAAGGGAAGGAGGAGGGAAAACAGACGTGAAGAACAGAAATAACCCATTTTTATTTTTTTTTATTTTTTGTTTTCTGCAAAAGCGTTTGGGTAAACTTTGGTTTGGTGAAAATACCTCAAAATGTGAAAACCACGATTCTTGTAATGTTGTTGTAACCAATGCTGCACAAAAATTTCAGGACTCTATTACTATATTTAAAGAATATCATTCTGCTACTGTGGAAAGGTATTCCTATAGAGGGAGAGGAATAAGATGGGCCTGGGCAAGACACTTTTTTACTGCGTCTATATTGGAAGTTGTACTAGTATGACTATAAAGGTTAGAAAAAAGCTGCACCCCAAACCAAGACACCAACTCAGTGCAAACCATTATGCTGGTCATGATATCCCAGAGTGAGGGATTCTGGAATACCGAGTTTACACAGGTAAAGAAAAAAATAATTTGAAATATTCCATTAAAATATACATCTGTGCTTGCTGCTTGTTACTGTGGCATTAAGGAGAAAGATCCATATTTAATTTATTTTTGCTTTGTATGTTCCTTTTTAGATTAGGCTCAGTTAATGCCAACAAATGTTTGCATTTATGCATGTATTGTGGATTATGATTTTTTAAAACTGCTGATAAACCTGTTATGGTTTGGGTTAAAATTGGCAGGGGGAAGAGGTTAACAACTGGCCTTCATGTTCAAGAGAGGTAATGTCATTTATCTCCTTTGTGGAACAGGGTAGCTAAAACAAACAGTGAGTGCCTCTAACGAGATACACACCATTGTCCATACAGCTGACACTTCTGCATGGTCCTACCTGTACTTTTGTTTTAGGCAGATAACCCTTGCTGGTTATAGTGTTAGTCAAAGTATATGTGAAGCAGGAGGACTCTAGAAGCAGACAGAAGGCAGCAGGAAAGCATGAGACATAGCCATAGAAGCAGGGGTAATATGACCTTGAGCAAAACTTAAAGAGGTTTTTTGGGTTTAGCACCAGCTGATGGAAGCTTGGACCTATGAGCAAACAAACTAGGAAGAGTCAGCATGGATTCACCAAGGGCAAGTCGTCCCTGACCAACCTGATTGCCTTTTATGATGAGATGTCTGTAGATACATAAATAGCAGTGGATGTGATATACCTTGACTTTAGCAAGGTTTTTGATATGGTCTCTCATAACATTCTTGCAAGCAAGCTAAGGAAGTATGGGTTGGATGAATGGACTATAAGGTAGATAGAAAACTGTCTGGATTGTCAAACTCAGAAGGGCAGTAATAAATGGCTTGATGTCTAGTTGGCAGCCGGTATCAAATGGAGTGCCCCAGGGGTCATTCACGAGACTGGTTTTGACCTGGAAGGTGGGATAGAGTGTACCCTCAGCAATTTTGCAGATGACATGAAGCTGGGGGAAGTAGTAGATACACTGAAGGGTAGGGCTAGGATTGAGAGAGATCTCAACAAATTGAAGGATTGGATCAAAAGAAATCTCATGAGGTTCAAGTGAAAAGTCCTGCATTTAGGATGGAACAATACCATGCACTGGTACAGGCTGAGGACTGACTGGCTAAGCAGCAACTCTGTATAAAAGGACCTGGGGCTTACAGTCGAGAATAAGCTGAATATGAGCCAACCAGTCCTGAGGCTACAAAACTTATGGAAGAAAAACAAACACTTTAACTGGTCAGTGTTGTTCCATTCATTTATTATAGTACATGGCTCTAGAACCTTGAGGATATATCTGCTCTACCTGTGCATTACTTTGCAAGTCCACTCTTAGGTTAGGTACAGATAGTCAAAAAGCCCAAGGCTGAATTTATTCAGTCTTTGCAGGTTAATCTAAACTGCACAGATTAAATTGAAACAGAAGTGAATAGGCATTTACCTCTTTGATTCAGGAAATGCAGCCACATGCCTGCAGTGGCTCAGGCCAGAAGCCAGGGGGTGTTAGAGGATGGCTTTCTGGCTCTGTATTTACTTCCTCTTCCTGCTGTCCCAAGGTCTCTGGGATTTGCAGTCCAGAATTACAACAGCAGGACTCTTCAGGGTTGCTCATCACTTTCTCTTCCTGCTTCCAGGTTCCTCTGGGATTTGTAGTCCACAGTCACAGCCAGCAGTAAATTTGAGTGGGGGAAGGGATGTTTAACCCTTCTCCCTGGCATAGACAACTGGTGCCTCCTGATACTGGGGGGGTCACTGACTGGGGTGAGTGGGTCCCCCAGCAGCCGATCGCCGCCGCTGGCAGAAGTGCTGGCAATGAAACTGGAAGTGCTGGCAGCAAACCTGGAAGTGCCACCAGCACTTCTCTCGGTCCCCCCCACAATCTCGGAGGACACTGGCCCATTCCCCAGCTGGCAAGCGCCAATCTCAGGGGAGGCACATGCCCCCTCTCTACCTCCCCAATCCGTTGTCTATGCTCCCTGGCCTCAGACCCCAGCCAGGGTTTGCGCGGGGGGTGGGAGGGGAAGTCCCACACCTGTAGACTGGGCTGCATCCCCAGCTGGGCTTCCCCCCACCCACACACACACTTTGTCAGCCAGCCCTCACTGCTCCAGCTAGAGAGCAAAGGGGCAGGACCAGCCCTGTTCTCTGGAGCAGAGAGCCCAGCCCAACCCAGCCCAGGGCTGGAAAGCATGCTGGGTTACTGTGATTTAACTTGAACAAGGAAGGAGTTTGGGGCAGAAGTTTCATAAACTGGTTTGACCCAAATCAGTTACGTCTGATACTACATTCAGCCAAGTTTATCTTACACCAGTTTCAGCCATTTTGAAACTGGTTTATGTGCACTTAGCTTCTGCTCTGTTACAGGTTTAAACTAATTTCTGATTACTTAAATTGGTTTATGTATAACTTCTCTCCCTAGCCTTAGAGTACAATGGGGTTCTGCTTTCAAGACCCTTACACTAATAAGAAGTTGGATGGTGCATGCAGTAAAGTATGTAACTGATTAGCCATAGCATTTTCTAGTACTTTATATTTATACATGGGTAATTTCATCTGGCCTGTTTAATGAGAGTCTTACAGTTTTTTTTCAAAGGAAGAAGGAATTGTTTAGGCTACCAAACTAACCACCAAAACATTTTTGTTCTTATACTTTTGTCTGTCTGAGAAAAATATTACCAGCCTGTAAACCACATGAAATATTCCTACAAAATTTGATAAAGTATTTGCACTAAAGGAAAATGTCTCGTTTACATTCAGATTTGTAACCAGTATAGATCTAAGGCTTTCATACATTTTCCCCGTAAAGAGGTATGGCCAGCAGTCTGGAGATGCGTGAAAGCAGGTAGGCAAAGCTGCAGACTATGCCTGTTCTCAGATGTAATGCAGCAGTACAGTTGTGGTTTTTCATAACTGTGCTACAGAATCTAAATTTTCATTAAAAAAATTAAATTTCTGGACCTAAAATTATAATAGCCTTCAAAAACATGTGCCAGAACCAACACAGTGATGACTGCCTGTACCAGTGGTTGGTCTGAAGAAACAATTGTAAAAGAATTATGTATTACTTCATTGGAATAACCCAAGGAATGATATTTCACATGTAAAATAGTTAACTGCTTCATTCCTGATTATTGTAGCAGATATTAAATGTGCATATTCATTGTTTTGGAAGCAGTGGTAAAAGCTGGTGTAGTGGAGCAGCTCTCTGATATTACAGTCTTGTTGGGGTTGAATAAAGAGGTCAAACCTCCAAACTTCAAAAATTATTTATGTCTAGTGGGGCAGGGGGTGACTTTAAAAACTATTTACATTTGTCTGGTACTAGAAGCCTCCACCATTGGTTAGGCTCCCAACAAAAAGTTTTCTACACTGTTGTAAGTGCCAAAATCTCCAGCCACCAAAATCTCTTAAATTTTCTCACATCCTTCTCCCTTCACATTCTACAACATAGTTATGATGCTAATATCTTCAGCATGTTATAAAAGAGTAAAATAAACTGAATAGCACATTAAGCACATACCATGCGGGATATATTGTGCTATTTGGACTGGATGGGAAGGCATGGAGAGGGAATAGATGGAAGGAGTCTTTGTTTCATAACTTTTTAAATTTTGTCTGTC